AGGGCAGGTCTGAGTTGTTTGTAGCACCGGCTTTAAGCAAGCAGCTCAGTTAGTCCGGCCTGAGGCCAAGCAGACCTAGGCCCGGGCTAGGAAGCCAACTGCTCGGACTAGGGGGCCGCCGCTCGGACTAGGAAGCCGCCCGGCCTGCCGCCCTTGTGGGAAAGCGGACCTGCCTCCAAGCCAAGCGGTTTTTAATGGATTCTTGTCACATTGGGCACCAGATGTTGATGTAACCAACCGTCTTATTAAATAACACAGAAACAATGTAAAAGAGAAAGCCAAGAGGTCAGAGCTCAGAAGTAAAATCTCACCCTTCCTCCTGCTGTGTCCCAGCTTCCTGAAAGAGAGCTATTTCCTTGTGTATCAGTCGTTTCAAAGTCATTCTGCCTTCTCATTGGTTATAAACCCAAACACGTGACTGCCTCGTCACTGTCTGTATGTACAGCCCTCTAGGTCTTAAAGGCGTATGTCTCCAATGCTGGCTGTATCCCTGAATACACAGAGATCTATGGGATTAAAGGCGTGTGCCACCACTGCCATGCTCTTTCTATGGCTCTAATAGCTCTGACCCCCGGGCAACTTTATTTATTAACATACAATCAAAATCACATTTCAGTACAATTAGAATACTACCACAGGGTAGTCCTCTGTGCATCTAGAGGATGCCATGCTAAGGCATTGGAGGCTGTGCAGATCTTCACAAGGCCTCCTTCCTTGATTTGGATATGGTGTCTTGTCCCTGTATGTCATGTATGGCCATGCTCTGTGAGGATCTCTTTCTGGTCCTTGAATTGCAATTCGTCTGAAGATCACACCTGTCTTGTCCATTAAAAACCCCTCAGACACTGAATTGTACCTTCAAAACCCTTCCAGAAATCCCCCTGCCAACTACATACACTGGTGTGAGACCACTTCTTCACCTAAAGAATTTTCTGCAGTCACTTACCTGAAATGGATCCCTGCCCACATTCTCCTGGGTTTAAATCCCTGCCTACTCTGACTCTGCTGCCCTTAGATATAGGGCATATCACAATGATAGTGACCTTCATGTGAGGTCACAGAGGCCAGGTCTCACTGTTTGGGAAATCTCAAAGGCTGTCCAGGTGCATGGGTATATTTGGGGCTAGTACTTATGGGAAGTATCTGAAGGTGTCTTTTATGACCATAACATGAGAAGAAGCTCAGATCCAGGCCTCCTCTTTCTCTAGAGAACTTTACCCTGGGAAGAACAAGTCCAGTGGAGATGAGGTATGTATACTCAGACTCAATGTGCAAAGTATAATTCTTAGTCTATCATTTCTGATGCTCTGGTTATCAGCAAGTTTCTCTCATTGTGAAACTTGGAGTGTGCCATCTGCTGGGTCCTGGGTACCAAACTGATTGATAAATTTGCCCTGCAACCTGTTCCTTCACCACCATTAAACAAATCTTGAAATAGAATAGCCCAGAAAGCAGGATGTCATGAAATTTCTCTACCTGGCCATGCAATGGTAGTCGATGACTTCTGAGAGCGTCACTCACTGGAGAACAGCACAACATCAGAACTTCATCCTGTACCAGTCTGCAGCACAGGCTGGGGGTGGCCATCCCTGGGCCTCATCGTCCGATGAGTTGTGGGTGTCATCTCCCTGAGTCCTTATTTTGACAATTTCTTGGCACACATCCCACTGATACTGCAGCTTTTTATGCTGCTATAGCACAGGTCCTATTAAAGGTCACCTCAAGGACCACATTGTGCCTCACATTACACCCTCCCACTTTTCAGTATAACACACTGTTAATTAGGCCTTCATCCCAGGAATCCTGTATGTATTTTTCCCACCACAGAGCCCAAACCTCACTGCACACCTGCAAGCAGCTCTTTCAGAATCCCAGCCCACCCCAGTAGACACTGAGCTCCCTCACATCAACACCACAGCCTTTACCTTGGCAATGAGCTGTTATATGAGGTAACAGAGACTTGACCACACCTCTGTCCAGCTCCTTCCTCTGTGCCTGAGTGCAGCATGAGGAACAACCACGCTTCCCCAAACTGTGCTGAGCACTCTGTTCCAGCACTGCGGAAGGCGTTCCCTGTGGTGAGTTCATCTTATTAACAAAGCCTCAACAAAAAGTTACCCTGTCTCATCTAGCAATGTGTATATTGATAGGGAAGATACGTGACAGCATTCCGTGTCCTCTATAAGCACTTTCACACATATGACCTGCAGACAGAAGCGCACACTTGAGTACACATACAAAGTGCAAATGTACAGAATTAGAAGGTAGAGTGCTCTCAGGGTGTTTACTCTGACAGTGACATGGATGTTTGTGTCCATACTGTGACAACTGAGTACAAATGAAAACATTGCTACTGCAAGGACTGAAGTCCTTGGGAAAGAGCAGATGGAAGTCCTCCGGGTGCTTTTCCTACCTTCCCTGGAGAAGCCATGAGTGCTGATCTAATGTGTTAGTCTAATTCAAACAGGAATGGATCCTTCTTTGTTACCTATGCTGGATGCTGAGTCCTGGTCTAGAGACACCTGTACAGCTTCAATTCCAGGCCTCTCTCCTGTGGTGATATTGTGTTCCCCAAAATATTGTGCACCCTAATAAACTTATCTGGGATCAGAGAACAGAACAGCCACTAGATATAGAGGCCAGAAAATGGTGGCACACGCGCCTTTAATCCTATCACTTGGGAGGCAGAGATCCATCTGGATCTCTGTGAGTTTAAAGCCACACTGGAAACAGCCAGGCATGGCAACTCATGCCTTTAATCCTGGAAAGTGAGCCTTTAATTCCAGGAAGTGATAGCAGAAAGCAGAAAGGTATACAAGGCGTGAGGCCCAGGAACTAGTGCTGGTTAAGCTTTTAGGCTTTGAGCAGCACAGTTCAGCTGAGATCCATTTGGATAAGGACTCAGAAGCTTCCAGTCTGAAGAAACAGGATCAGCTGAGGAATTGACAAGGTGAGGTGGCTGTGGCTTGTTCTGCTTCTCTGATCTTCCAGCATTCACCCCAATAACTGGCCCGAGTTTGTTTTTATTAATAAGACCTGTTAAGATTCATGCTACACTCTCCCTGGTGAGATGGAGGGGGTCTCTCCCTGTGGTCTTGAGGGACCAGTCCCACTGCTGTAAGATGTCTGACCCCTGATCTTTCTAGTTCTTAGGGTGAGCTGTCCTCAGGTAGGAACATTTCAATGACCTCACTATGTTTCAGTCTCCCCATTGAAGGCCTCAATGAAGAAGTGCCCCACACTGAGTCACTCACGATGAATTTCAGGTAGCGTCCATCCCAGAAAACAGCCCAAGCTTACCCAGACGCTTGGGCCTGCTTCGAATACCAGCCATCCTTGGTGGACTCTGTTGCCCTCAGGCAAAGAACACTGATATTACTGTGGCAGAGATTTACCTGTGAGGTCACAGAGGCCTCACCTCACTTCATTCTGAGAATCCCAAAGGGCATCCCGGCTTCAGTTACCTCCCAGCTTGGCCCATCCTTAGTCTCTCCCAAACTGTGTCAAGCATCCTTGGAAACACATAGATTGGGAAAGTAGCTGGAAGTGTTTCGCAGAGACCCCTCCATGGGAATCACATACATCTTGTGGTAGCCCTCCATCTCTTCTGAGGTCACTGCATCCTTGAGAGGAGGCACACAGTTGACAGTGCTGCTTCCTCATCTCAAATGTCTGAACTCACCCTCTGTCTCAGCATCTCAGATTCTCCATAGGCATCATGGTTTATCTCTGGCACTCACCTGCAGGGTGCCATCTTCTGTCCCTTGCATCTGGCTCCAAATGTAACCATACCTCGTTTCCTATTTTACCTCTGCACCACTGATCTTTTATCTTGTGGTGGGTGGTGGGTTATTAGCTGAGTGTTAGCCTGCAAGGCCAGTGGCCCTTAGTTTTAGAGGGAACAGTATGAAAATATGTAGATCAATAGTGAATAAATACATAGCTTTCATGAGCCACAATAGAATGAGTTGCAGACAGAGCCCAGAATGAGGTGAGAATCCTGGGAGTACATTCTTTCACTTGTCCTATCCTCAGTGGACCTTCCACCTGAATAACTGTGTTTGTGAATAATCGTTCTGTCTAGATATGTCTCAAGCCACTGTCCACATGCACTTGCAGTTTATGCAGTGTTGGGAGCTCATTCTGTTAGCCTTCTTGACCTGGGACTCTGTCAAGTCCATGCTTCCCCTGTGCAGGAGCTGCAGTCTCTCAACTACCAGGTTTCAAGTGTTTCTCATGACCAGATGGTGGGTGTAAAACATGACTGACACCCAACACTGGGGATTGCTGGGCACACATGGCCACGGGGCCACTGTGCATTCTCTGTAGTTATTCAGAATGTTGGAAAGTTCAGCGGTTTCTTGTGAAAAGCTTTAAACCTTTGCCTGAATTAGCCTGGCTCTCCCTTTGGAGACCAAGTGTCCAGCTTCTGTCATGAGGATGTTTTCGGGGAGTTGCACTGTGTTTTTGCATTCAGACAGATGACTCATGAGCATGAGGACCCTGTGGGTGTGATTTGGAGACTGTGGGAAGTCAGAGTGCCTGATGGAAGGACAGGCTTTTACAGCAGGGGAAGGAGTCGTCATTGTTGTGTCCCAAGTCTGGCCATGTGCTGTCTCCTGCACAGGCTCATTGCGGCTGTAGCTGGTCATCTGACATGGAAAACAGGTTACATATGGATATATTTGGGCACAGAGAGACCTGTATCATTTATTATTGTGAAAAGTTGTCCCCTCTCCTCAAAGTATCACCAACTAATTAGGATATAAGAATTGCAAGTTAATAGTCGTTACAATCGAACTTGTAGTCATTTAAGTATGTTTTCAAGGTCGAGCAGATATATTTTAGATAGACAGGTAATCTTCAAACACTTCAGAGATCTACAGAACTTGGCATTTGAGATGTTTTAATAACATAGATTTTTTTTTTCTTTTTTCGTGACTATGAGACATGCCTGCTCCTGGCAGCACTGATCTACTTCAGAAAGGATGATGGGCATTGAAGAGACTCCATATGGAGTTTATTTTCATTGTGGTGAAAGTTAGCCACTGGGCAAGAAAGTGCCCTTGTATCGACTGCTGACAGTATGCTGTCCAAACGGAACAAGCAGGACACAAAAGAAAGGGCTGCCGATCCTTGCCAAGACAGGGTAGGAAAGCACTTTAGAAAATCCTGCTTCACAGAGGAGTCTGTCAGATATGCTAAGCCCGTAGGCTGAAAAGGATGCCCCAATGTTGCAGAGAAACCTCGGGTAACTGTCCAGGCAGCTGGCTGTTTCTGTCATAACTCACGTTTTTGGGGAGTCGCTTATTTGCACTCCCTGTTTAAATAGGTAATGTTATTTCCTTCTTGGGTCTCTGAGGGAGTTGTAGATTAGTTATAGTTTTCCTTGTTAAGAAATTCAGAAAAGAGACTCACCAAAGAGGTGTAAAGTATGTAAGTTTGAAAGAGATCAAAAGATAGTTTGAGTAATGAAAATTTGGATAGAAGGTAAATTAGATACAATCCTTTGAATTCACAAAAATGGGATAGATAATGGAGTATTTTCTCTGAATTTGTCAAATGCAAATGGACTAGACATTGTTCATATATGTATTGCTCATATATACAGTATATGGTTATTGTGCTTATTGTATATAGTTTTTCTTATATTAGTTACAACTTTTTTATTTTTTTATTTTAGACAAAAAAGAGGAAATGTGGTGATATATTGTGTCCCCCAATATATTGTGCACCCTAATAAAGCTTATCTGAGGATCAGAGGGAAAAGCCAGCCACTATACTAAACATAGATGTCAGGCAATGGTAGCACACGCCTTTAATCCTAGCACTCAGGAGGCAGAGAGTCATCTGGATCTCTGTGAGTTCAAGGCCACACTGGGAACAGAGCCAAGTGTGGTGGCACACACCTTAAATTCCAACACTAGTTAACCATAAAGGTCTGGAGGTCTGTACAGACAAACAGGAAGTGACAGAGCTGGGCAGGAAGAGGAAGTGAGATGGCAGGGACAGAAAAGCATATAGGTGTGGGTACACAGGAAGTAGATCTCTTTGGAAGCTGAGGGTTGGTAAGGTGAGGTTGGCTGTGGCTTGTTCTATTCCTCCAATCTTTCAGTTTTAACCCCAATATCTGGCTCCAGGTTTTTTTTATTAATAAGACTGACAAGCAATTTGTCTTACACACTATATATAGAATGATTTGCATTGTTTTTTATTTGCTTTGTTTTGGGGTTTTGTTTTGATTTGGT